TCTTTGACATTTATCTTGATTGCCAGCACAGACCCTTAAAAGTGTTAGAAGGAATACTGGCCCTAATTAAGTTAATTTGAAAATGTAACTTGAAATTTACCCAATTTATAACCAAATCAGTGAAAATGCTTACAAATGAAACATTAAACCTAATAATATATCACATTAATTTTCCTTAATGTCATGAAAGAACCCTCAAAATCAGTGTGTATATTACAGACCTCACTCTGATAATTGGAGAAATGACTTCTGTGCTGCGCATGTGCCATCATTTCAAATACAGATGCATTTTGTGTGACCACTTCTCTGGACTGTGATTTCTCTGAGTTAGGTATTTTCTCTGTTAGGACTGGGATAGTTACAAGATTCGGTTTTCATAAACATTCTTTAAAAACTTGCCTGCAGATGTTCCTAAATAAAGATTTTTACATATTGGACTAATTTAGGGATTAAGAATTTCTCAAATGAAGGCAAGAAAAGAACTTAGTAGTGTGGTAATTAAAATCTGTTTACACAGGTAAAGCCAATGGGATATGTAGAAGGTCACCCCTCTGATTATACAGGGTGGGACAAAAGTAGGTCTACAGTTCATGTGAAAGTAATACATTGATAAATAATAATACAAAAATAAACTGTTTGCATACTTACAACTGCGAATCTATTTTTGCCCCACCCTCTCTGCCTGACACGAGGAACATGGAATGCTGTACAGGAATGTACCTGTGAGCCTTCAGTTCCAAAATGTACAAATCACTGATGAAAAACAGTGTTAGATTACATATTCTTGGTTTGTTTCAAATGTGCACCTGCAGAACATGCATGCATCACTCACTGACACCTCAAATAACAGTGAATTTTACAAGAGGAGCAGTTTGCGGTGAGGATGGCTGTACAATTTTGAGAGCATCTGTCCTTGTGTATTACTAGTGTATTAATTCAGGGGTGACAGCCACAGTGGAGAACACTCCATGAATGAATGATGATAATATGAAGAAAATGAAGTAGAAGATGTAAGTAGTAGGGTAGTTTACCTGGCAACTTTAACTTGGAACCAGCCAAATGTAATTTGTGGGGTTTCTTTTTTTTTTTTTTTAATTTTTCTGGTATCCTAAAATTTCCCATAAACTAAATCAGCGACTGAAAATTTTCCTATGTCACAAAGTTAGATATTTTCTCTACTGCCAAAAGTAAATATACATGGTTGCTAAGAAAATTCTTAATTATTTTACTACTTATTTAGTTGCCATTTAAATTGAACCTGCACCTAGAATGAGTTTGTGCAAGGGGAAAAATCCCACATATAATTACATATATTGTAATTGTCTGCAAGAATTGAAATTTCTCTTTTGGTATTTTGCATAAAACTTCTTTATCTTAATTGTACCCTCCTTTTTCATTTTTGGAAAATAAGGCTCTATTTTTTAGAGCAGTTTTAGATTCAGGAAAAACTTAAGGAGAAGGTACAGAGATTTCCTGTACACACTCCTTACCCGTCATGTACCTCACCTCCCCTACTTTGTTTTTAATTTCCTTCAGAAATGTTTTCTCCATGGGTTTGCCCCAGAGAAAGAGTAGAGGGGAATTATCCAGTTGAAATTCTTTATCACTGAAGAGGAAATATAGAGTCAGCCACAACAGATGTGATTTCAAAAATTGTCTGTTCATGTCTTATATGCTGTGCATCTTTACAAACTTGAATCTTTGAAAATAACCTGCAACAGGCAGATAGTAGAATGCTCCTAATGCTGATATGGTTGTTGGCTATTTGGTCAGTTGGTGCTTTTCTTTTAAAGAGTATGTATTTGATTTGCATAGGAAAAAAGTTTCACTATGAATGAAAGTATATTAGGGCATAAAAAAGGTGTATAAATTTCTCATTTCATTTGCTAAAAGAACCCATGCTGGTCCTTGAGTTAGCCAAATTGATATATGCATGTTCACATTTATTAAGAGTTTGTGGAAAGGTAATGTTTGAAATCCCTTCTCTAATCAAGTCATCATTTTGTTGTCCATATGCTCACTGGCTCCATTTGGAATGTACATCTTACATCTTGCAGGGCTATACCATGGGAGGAGTAATCCTTAGCTATTAGTAAGATTAGTAACTGGTACTCTGGCCACTTACAGTGGACTTTGTCACTGTATCATCTCTTCGCTTTCATCCTACCATGAACTGTCATTTGATTTCCAAGGTCACTCAAGCAAACAAGAATTAAAACTTGTTATTAAAAAAGTCTCCAAAGATAGGTAAAAAATAACACTTTTGAAAAATCTTAGAAAAAATTTTTCTTTCATCTCTGAACTTCTAGATAATTCAATTATATTATTGAAACTTAAAAACCTTCAGGTTTTTCAAAATGTCTTCTTGTAATGGGCACAACGAAAGCCTTTAAAATTGTTTTCACTCTAACTAGTGAGAAGATACCAAAATGAAACTTATTTCAGGATTGCTTGATGGCTAATATACCAAAGGCCTCTTGCTCCCTCTACAGAAGGTGCTTCAAAATTGCAGTCCCAATTTTTTTTTCAGTTCCATTTTTTTAATTGTTGTTGAGGTACAGTTGTCTCTATTTCCTCCCAACCCCAGCCATCCCCACCTCCCACCCTCAATCGTACCCCCTTTTGGCTTTGTACATGTGTCCTTTATACATGTTTCTGACAACCCTTCCCCCTGCTCCCCCCATTATCCTCTCCCCTCTGGCTATTGTGAGTTCTTTATTTCCATGTCTCTGGTTCTATTTTTCTCACTTGTTTGTTTTGTTCACTAGGTTCCAGTTAAAGGTGAGATCATATGGTATTTGTCTTTCACCACCTGGCTTACTTCATTTAGCATAATGCTCTCCAGTTTCATCCATGCTATTGCAAAGGGTAGGAGGTCCTTCTTTCTTTCTGCTGTGTAGTATTCCATTGTATAAATGTACCACAGTTTTTTGATCCATTCATTTACTGATGGACACTTAGGTTGCTTCCAGCACTTGGCTATTGTAAATTGTGCTGCTATGAACATTAGGATGTTATGAACATCCTATTAAGGTGTTTCAGGGTTCTTAGGATATAATCCTAGCAGTGGAATTGCTGGGTCAAAAGGTGGTTCCACTTTTAGTTTTCTGAGGAAATTCCATATTGTTTTCCACAGTGGCTGCACCAGTCTGCATTCCCACCAACAGTGCACTAGGGTTCCCTTTTCTTAACATCACCAGCACTTATTGTTAGTTGATTTGTTTATGATAGCCATTCTGACCAGTGTGAGGTGATACTTCATTGTGGTTTTAATTTGCATCTCTCTGATAGCTAGTGATCCTGAGCATCCTTTCATATGTCTCTGGGCCCTCTGTATGTCCTCTTTGGAGAAAGCCCTAGAGGAGAACATAGGCAGGAAAATCTCAGATATTCCATGCAGCAATATTTTCACTGATATGTCCCCTAGAGCAAGGGACATAAAGGAAAGAATAAACAAATAGGATTTCATCAAAACAAAAAGCTTCTGCACAGCTAAAGAAAACATCAGCGAAATGAAAAGGGAACCAACTGTATGGGAAAATATATTTGCTAAAGATACCTGGGACAAGGGTTTGATATCCAAAGTATATAAAGAACGCACACAACTCCACTCCAGGAAGACTAACAGTCCTATTCAAAAATGGGCAAAGGACTTGAAGAGATACTTCTCCAAGGAGGACATACAGAAGACCCAAATTTTTAAGTTTTGTTTTACAGTTCCAATTATTTCCCCCTTGTCCTTCTCCACTCAACCCACCCCCATTTCCATAGTCCCCACCCCGTTATCCATGTCCATGGGTCCTTCATACATGTTCCTTGATGCATCCCTTCACCTTCTATCCAACAGTAGCTTCTTCCCTCCTCCCTTCTTACCACTGTCAGTCTGTTCCAGACATGAAATAAGCCAGTCAGTGAAAGACAAATACCATATCATCTCACTTATAAAAGGAATTTAGTGAACAAAATGAACTAATGAGCAAAATAGAACCAGAGGGATAGAATCACAAAATTTGTTTTAGAAAACAATCAAATAGATTTGTTAAGAGATCCATGGTGATTAATAAAAAGCTCTGGACCCATGCGTATCTCTAATGTCTTATAAACTGGCTGGCTGTCCTAAAGTTGGTCAGGATAGGTTTGTGCATTTCTAATTTGGCATTTTCCTCTTGCATCAGCAACGGTTAAACTCCAGTAACAACTGTGAAAAACAGTAGGTTTTTCTTTGCTTGGCTTTGTTTTATTTGATCTCATGGATGAATAAAATGCTTGAACAATTTTTCTGATACTAAGTGATCACTTTCTCATTTTCATTCTTTTTTATTTTGCCTGGGAATGTAAGCCAGAAAAACAGTGTACTGTACCTCACCAGCTTAATTAGTTCTCTCATTATCTACTTCTAATTGTTTCAGTCACTTTTAGTTCTTAGTTGGTTTGGGGAAAAAAGTAACAATTTGAATTGTGACTTCTCAGAAGGAAGAATTGTTTTTAATTAAAGTGGATTTTGTTTGACCATAGGTAATATTCACAAGAGACAGAAAACTTGTCCTTTCTATAAGAACTTCATTAATATATAAAACTACCATACATAATATATATAACTACTACATATGTATGTATATATGATCTTAATTTACCCATTTCAATTGGAATGAAATGTTAATATTTTAGTAGCTTTGGTTTTAATAATTTTATGCATCTTCTTTTACAACTCCAAGACCATTTTATTTGACAAGTTATCAGTTTTCCTTAGTGTGCCATTTAAAGTTATAACAATTCTTCTATCTGTAAAGTCTTAACGAAAGATTGAAAAATCCATTTCATTTGTATTTAGCATAAGAACAGACCTTCTGATGTTATCCTGACCTTGTAATTGAAAAATGCATATACATGACAGAGTAGCTTCTTTAATTTGAATATATCACATCAGACTTACATGTTGTAAATTATTATGCTTATACTATACTGGATTTCTTTTTTGTTTGTTTTCTGCCCTCTGGTAGGTGTACTGGTCCATTAGCAAATTCTCTTTCAGAGAAAACGAGAGACCCAGTAGAGGAAGATGACGATGAATATAAGATCCCTTCATCCCATCCTGTTCCCCTGACTTCTCAACCATCTCATTGTCATAATGTAAAACCTCCTCTTAGGTAAGCATGTGGGCAGCTTCTTCATCATCTCACATCTGCGTAAACAGTATCATTTGTGGTATTTGTTTTTTTAGCAATTACATTATATCTATTTATTTAAAATCCTTAATTTCTTGCTCAAAGCCTCTTCTTTCTATGTACTGTTTTCTGCATTACTTTCAGAGAAAACTGAAAGATACAGGTTTGTCAGGAAACCATTTGACTTAATTAGTTAACCAGTAAGTCTAATGGGACACTTCGTTGCCTCTCTCTACCAAAACAAACTATATTCTGATAAAACTTTGTAGGTTACCTATAGTAATGATTAATTCATGAATTTTCAATAAGCTATTTTCAGTCCATTTTATAAGTTTTAAGTATCTATCTCATGAAGAAAAAAATTAGTGCTTAGAAACTAGTGTATTATTGCTAATCTTCCTTAGAATTTTTCTTCATGATGTAAAGATTTGTATAATTTATATTCATTTCCCATTTTAACATGCTACCTCCTTCTATTCATATCTTGAAGAAAAATTTAAAAACCCTAAAATTGGGTTTCTTAACTGTTTTTATCAGGTACTATATATTTTATTTTTGCTTAGATCAAATAAGAATGTGAGGAATAGTGGGTTTTGGAGGGGGGCGGGTTTTCACTTGTTTATCCTAGTTCAAATGGAGATATCCTTGATCTTAGTAGTTGTAGCTCCATTGAGGTATATGAATTATTAAAAATGAGTGGTGTGTATTGAAATATTAGTTTGTCTTTAGGTAGAAGGAGGATTCTACATTTATGTAATTGAATTAGTAACCATAATATAATAAGGTTATTCTTTTTATCTTTTTAAAAGACTGACATATATGAGATACTCAGTAAGTGAAATCTCAGTTTCAAAATTTATTTTTTTAAGCTCCAGTTTTCATTGTATAATAACATCCCTGAAGCTATGCTAGGAAAATAGAGCAGGGTTCAACTACTGCTGGTGGCCCAGCCTTCTGCCCTCCAGTAGCTCTTGATTGAGAAATAGGAGAGTGGTTGGACACTCAGTCATCTGTGTCATCTTAGTATGCCATTTCCTTTTTAGGTCAAGTCAGTCAGCAGAAGGCATTTTAGTTTATGTATGGACTGTCCCTTTTTCAGATGAAAAGTCTAAAACTCTTTTAATGCCTTTCTTTGACTATCGTACTGAGGTAGAAAACACAACATTTGAGGAGCAAGTGTTCATTTTAACCAGAGATCTGTCTTAATGAATGATCCTTGTTAGAATTATCAACACTCTGCAAAAATTATTAACATTCTGAAGTCTAGGGCTTCATAGTTCCAAGCAAGAACCAAAGTACTTCTTACTAATTGGTGTTTAAGACATTTGTTGCTAAAATAGTATCTGTGCAGAGACAAAAAAAATTAACCGAGAGGCAATTTGTTATATCAGAAGAACCAAATGTCTGCTGCTCTCATTAGAGAAAAAAGTTATTCCTTTACATCAAATATAAATTGTTAAAATTTTCAGTTCCTTTGACTCTTACCAATGTATAATAATTTTTAAAAACTGAAATAAGACGTGCTTTTTCTGTCTACATAGTGTCTCATTATTTTTCATTGCTGGAGAAGTGAGGGGTATAATTTTAATACTTTAAATTTTAATTGTCACATCATATTGGATGAGCTCTTTGGTGGCAGGCCTCCTAAAACCAGAAAATAAATTTGAATTATGACCGTCATTACCATCTTTGTACTGTTATAGAGAAGTAATAAATGTTGATAATCCCTAAACTTAATTGGAGTGCATTTTATGTCTAATTTGTTTCTGAAAGCTGACGAATGAAGTATCTTCTTATATGCTCTGCAGGGCACACTGTAAGCTGAACAGCTCTTTCCCCTCTGTCCCTGCCCTCCCCTATGGAGCAGCAGAAGTAAATATGTGAAACAGGTTAAATGGTAGATGAATAATTCAATTCAGTTTTAGTAAAAATCCATCATTATTATGAAAATTCAACTATAGTTATCAACATGATAACTATTTTTTAAATCAGCCATCTCTGGCCCCTTGAAGAGAGGTGGCCACCAGAGAGAATGAAAATGAATTTCAGATGAAGCACTCTTCAATAACTATTCAAATATCCACCATCTCCTCTAATAGATATATACTTCTACTTTGCCCGAGAATTCAGAGTAAATTAGAGAAAAGTAAATTATAAACCCCGTTTTCAATATAGCTTTCTATGAGCAGAATAACTCGGTGAGCAGAGAGTTCATTGTCACACAGCTGTATTCTGAAGACAAAATGCACTCTGCATTTTCCCTTCCTGCTGCTGTCTTCCCATGCCCCGGTTTTATCCAGTGTTCACAGTATGATTTCGACAACAAAAGTACTTTTTAGTGACTATTATCCTTTATAGACATCTAGATCAAAATATTTGTTGTATATCCAAAACTTCTGTGAAAGTCATTTTGGTACTTTTGTTAGAAGCGCCAGCATTTTGTTCACCACAGCGGTGAGATTATACTATAGACTCTGGGTCTTTGAAAACGCCAATCAGAACTGTAATAGAACTGCTGGTTGTTAGATAATTCTCCATCTTTGGGCTCTAGTTTATTATAAGGTAAACTTAAATTACAGAAATAAAAATATAATGTTAAATACCATTAAAATATAATGAAATCACTGGGATTGCTAATATATCTTTTGCTTTATTATATTTTTTCTTTAAGTATGTCACAGTTATTAGTGAACTCTTTCAAAACTTTATGTTATGTTCAAAGACTTTTAGAGTAGCAACAATTTTTGTGACCATTGTAATTCTTGGTTTAACTTAAAAAAGAAAGATTATTTGTCTTCAGTGGGATACTTCTGCTTTGTAAAAATATGTGGGTAGGAGTATCTAGATAATATTATTTGCACTTTTCCCAGAAAACCAAATGAATTATTATTTGTTTTCACACTTTATTATATGAGCTGGGTTGCTAGATCCCATCACCCTCCCAAATGACTTTCAAAAGGAAAGTGACCTTATGATTTCTATCCTCTGCTCTCTGCTTCAGGTCTTATGATAATGGCCATTGTATATTGAATGGAACACATGGAACACCTTCAGAGATGAAGAAATCAAACATCCCTGAGTTAGGCATATATTTAAAGGGTATGTATTGCACATACTCTCTTTGCATTCTACATCTTAATGGTCGGAATTTAAAGGCAAAATTCCATACCACTGTTGAACTGAAAATACATTAAGATTTTGTGTTATCCTCTAGGAGATGTTTTTGATTCAGCCTCTGATCCAGTGCCATTACCACCTGCCAGGCCTCCAACTCGGGACAATCCAAAGCATGGTTCTTCACTCAACAGGACGCCCTCTGATTATGATCTTCTCATCCCTCCATTAGGTTGAAACTTTAAAAAAAATTTCAAATAAGCCACCCTGCCTCTTCTTTCACTTAATATCTGAGTTATCAGAAATCAGCATTCAGTATAATACAGACTCACTAGGTTATGAATTTGTCTGATTTAGAGATGATCCTTCAGGTAATGGTGGCTGCCAAGTTCATGTGACCATTATTCTGTGTAAATCTTCAATTTTCAGTTTGTGTGCCATGGGACACTGGTGTGCCACAATTGTAAAACATGCAGTCCCTGACTGTTTAGTCAGGAGCACTGAGCTCTTTGCCTTAGATTGTCAAATAAAAAATGGCAACAGCCAACACAACAGTAGCCATCCAGTGAATGAATCAAAATTATACCTATTTATTTTTTGTCAGATGGGCAAAAATATATTTTTTGGTGTTCCACAGGATTTTAGTAGTTGATTTATGTGTACTATGAAATAAAAAAGATTGAAAATCGCTAGTTTAGATGTCTGAAGCAATGTTGTAAATAGCTGGCCATCAGTCAGAATTTTACCAACTTATGTACTAAATGTAGTCTACAAAAAACCTATGTGGGAGCCTTGTTCAGGCACTCGTGTTCTAGTAAAGCTGAAGCGTTCATCTGAGATTTCCTTTAAGTACAGTTCTTAACGAATATGTATTGTTTCTTTCAGCATTTAATGACCCACTTTCACTTAGCTAGTTACATTATGGAAAATTATATATTTTATTATAGGGAGCTAAGAATAAATTCTGTCTTATAATCATTGAAAAGAATTACCAAAAACACATGCAACGAATTTAAATTTCTTTGTTTCAGATGTTAAGATGGAGAAGTATACTATTGTATGTTTGCTGTGTGTACATGTATGAAGGTACACACAGGTGTGTATATATGTTAAACTTAGGTATCTGTATTTATTTCATTAATTCTGTGTGAGAAGCTTCTTACCCTATTTTTGGAGGAAGACAATTAGAGAACCTTTACACACATTAATGCTTCACAGTAGCAAATCACCATGATATAAAATAATGTATGATGAAAGTCCACTTATAAACTTAGCTGAATTATTAGAATACTAGAAATGTGAAAGGAACCTTTTGATTTTTTTCCTCAAACACCATCAACCAGTGTTTCCACTTAAATATTGCAGTATATTTTGCTCTCCTATTCTTTTTGTTTTACACTTGACACCTTTCCTGTGTTCCTTCTGTTGTTCAATGCTTTATTCTCACCTACATGAATTATAAGAGCCTCCTAACTTCCTTCTTTGCCTAGTGTTTTTCTCCCTTCTTCCTATACTTTGGTTTTGAACCTTCTACCCGAGTCCTTAGGACCTAGATAAGCACTGTCCAATAGAATTCTGTGTGGTGATGTAGGAGTCTGTATATTCACATGAGCGATGGTGAAACTGAGAGGACAGCAATACGTGTTACCCATTTGGGGATGATATCTGATCATCTTCTGGACAGTATTCTCCCACATGGCAAGCATAATGTTCTTACTCATTTCTGTATTTCATATCACAGAATATGTTTAATTGATGATTATGAAATAGAATAAAACACATTTTCAAAGCAGAAAAAAAACCTACATAACTACATGTGATGGTGACTATCATACTGGACAGGACAGATAAATGTTCCAACCTGTCTCTTTAACGCCACCTTCCTCATGTGTATCTGAAGCTTTATTCATACAGTTTACTCTGTCTAGAGGACACCATCCTAACGTTTCATGAGTAAAGAGTTTTGAGCCACTGATACTCCAGACCTTCTTGTTTTTGGTAACACCTTGCTGAATGTCACTTTCTTAATTTCTCTCCCCTCCTAAAATGAATATATCTGTCTGTGGGACCTATGTGACTTGCATCCTGAATCATTTGTGAACTTTGCTGAGATTTCCATGTGGAATCTAAGCTCCTTGGGTCAGGGCCTTATGATTTTGATCTTCACAGTACCAATGTGCCTAGCATGGTACCTGACATTTAGGCGCTGAAAAAGGATTTAAATGAATAAGAGAAGTTAGCATATAGCTGAAGGTCGGAATGAAAACAGAAATACTACTCATACCTTCAAATATTTTAAGTTAGAAAAATATTTCTGATCATTAGAGAAAATATTTTCAGTGTTTTTTACAAGGCAACCTGGATGGATGGTAAAACTTTAAGTATACGTTTGTGTTTGTCAGCAAATTAATATACATGTGAATTTTTATTTCTAGAACATGTGGGTGTTTATTTTACACTGTTTCATTCACAAAGATTGCTTACAAAAATACATAACACTGCAACTGTCTTTTTTTAAAGAATCAATGTAAGGGAACATATGAGTAGAAAAGTGTATGTGGCAGGAGAAAATAGACAAACGCATGCGGCAATGTTCTGTAGTTAGTAAAGCTGGGAAACAGCAAATGTACGTAACCAGCTTTGGGACCACAAAAGGTAGCTCTATATTTAGCTGTTCCTCTTTAGAGCTATCTTGTAAGTAGATAAGTACCATATTCTTCTACTCTAGGTGCATTTTCTACATAGTTTGACAATATATGGAATATTAGCTTCAATATTAAAATCCAGTGGAATAAACTTTAAAAGATAATCTATTCTGTGACACTAAATTTTTGTCATAGTATGATTTTCTAATAGTATGATTTTCTAATTAGAGGCTGTTGCACAAAGAATTCCGTTTGGAATGTGTGACATAATTTTTAGTTCAAAATTCTAGTGTCTTAATATTATAAAGTTTACAGATGAATATTCACCTGTTTTATAACATGCAGTACTCCGTTTTAATAGAAAGGCCTGAGGGATAGAAAAATTTGCACACACATGTGTGTTTGTGTGTCTGGTTTGCTGTTCTCCAAACTCCCACAAAATAATTAACTCCCATTACTGAAGCTGGTGAACAGCTGGATAGACACTGCAGGTGAAGTTCTTCACAAGCAGTAAGAGAAAATCAATCATTATTTTGGCCTGATGCTGTGTTGCAACTAATGAAGTTCTGCTGTTGATACTGACCTTTCTTTAAATGCAGGTGAAGATGCTTTTGCTGCCGTGCCCCCATCCCTTCCACCTCCCCCACCTCCTGCAAGGCACAGTCTCATCGAACATTCGAAACCTCCTGGCTCCAGCAGCCGACCGTCCTCAGGACAGGACCTCTTCCTTCTTCCTTCAGGTAGGAGGAAAAAACCAAGGAAAGCTTTCCACTTAAAGCAAAAGTATTTCTTAGATCATACTGTCAAATATGTAATTCATTGGTTTCTGTCTCCCTGGCAGAAAAAAACTCTGAGTGAGGAAAATAGCAGTTGGGTAGATCTGTTTGTCAATTGGTTGGTTCATTTGTAAAAGGATTACAAAAATGGAGAGAGAAATAGGGAATAACAGAATTTAGCAATGGTGCCCTGGAGATCACCGATCTCCAAGTAGCAGCACCCTGTGGTCCAGAAGGCATTCCTGAGACCCAGGAGGGCTCTGTAGCTGGGCATTCACCACAGAGTGACCAGAGACAAAGTTTAAATGCCGTCTCCAATTCTAAGTACTATAATTTTTTTCTAGTAAGTTTTAAAAGTTTTACCACGTATATCTTGGGCATAATTTTGTTCAAAAATATATTTTGGTAAATTACATTATAATATTTTGGTAAATTACATTGTTATAACATTGGTAAGGTTTTCTGGAATACCTTTATTCTGTTACATTTTTTTAATGTCTCAGTGTATCTACTCAAATTTTTGTTTTCAAGGAAAAATTGATACATACCTTTTTAAAACTCAAGTACACAGTAGAAATAAAATAAAGGAACTTAAACCATCTACTCCATGAGTCAGAATTCTCAGGAAAAAATACTCAGTTATGTATTAAATTAACCATTGCAAGCTGTCCTGCTGGTGCTACTGGGATCTGGGCTCCGAAAGAGGGCCTCCTCGATTTGAGTTGGTTAACAATAGGATAAATATCTTTTCTTAACAACTGCTTTTACATTTCTGTATGAGATAAATCATGGAAAAGCCTTAAAAGAGTGCAGTTTGTCCTTTCGCCACTGTAAGACTTCGGAGTCTTAACCATTATCATTCACCTTTAGCCTTCATTTTTCTGTCCTTTCCCACTTCATTTCGTAATTCAGAAAGTTTGAGCTTTGTGTATAAGACACAGATCAGACATGAACCTTGGAATGTATAGCTTCAGTTTTTAAGAAATACTATTGAGTTTAATCTTTCATCAGTAAAATGAACTGTTTTCTGTGTCACTTGTCCTGTTGACATGCCCTTGGCCCCTAAAGTACAGGGACCCACAAGATGCTCATCAGCGAGCTGGGGCCATGCCCTTCTAAAACCCAAGCATACAGCATTGGGAGCTTAGTCGCTTAAATTTTTATACAGCTGCACATAAGCATTATAATTTGCTTTACACTTATACTTTTTCTAATCTTTGCTTTATACATGGACTTTAATTCATATTTTTAAAAATAAATCACTCTAAATCTTAGTTAACCTTTCCCAAGGCTAAATTCTGGATAGTTTCTGGCCAGATTCCTACAATGTACCATTCTCCTTTTTTATATGTGATTTAAGCCCCATCAAATGAATCTTCAATGAAGTGCCTTCTTTTAAAATTAGGTCAAGCTTTCCAGGAGCTAGACAAAAACATTTTACACACATACATACTTTTCCCTATTTTTATTAATAGAATCGATTATAAAATATTTGGTATCTTTATCATGATTTTATTGTTCATTGTGCTTTATGTAAAAGTATTCATCAATATGCTCTCAAGATTACTAAAAAAATTGGTACTTCAAGGTGAAAATACCCCCTTTTATTAAATAAAAGTTGTATAAATTGTTTTGTAGTACTTTGTATACAGGTTTGATTGCTTTGACTTTGCCTGGCTACAAGGGGCACAGCAGCAATGGCCCTTAACCCACGGGAGGAGCCCACAGGGGATCAGAGCAGTGTCGTTTGAACCTGCTGACTCTCCCTTGACCTCCTTTTGTACATGGGAGTATTCCAATTGCACTCACAATAGTGTTGACATTCCTTAATAATAAATACTTTTAAGAAAAAAAATGGCAACATCTCTTCTCCTTTTCCAGTCTTGTATATCATTAACAAGACATTTCTAGTCTGTTGTCAGATCCTTTGAGATCCATTCAGAACACTGTTTTTATTCCATTTTATACTGTATACATTAGCTGTCCTTTTAAAAAGAAATATTTTAATTATTTTTACCTAATCATATCATAGAATATGAAGGTTTCTTCTAGCTCATAAATAAGCATTTCACTATTATTTTGCCAAGTATTTAATACATTATAATGTATAAAGAACTATAATAGAAGATTCACAACAGTGGTTCTTCACCCTAAGAATTGGACTTCATGGAAGAATGCTAAAGGAATGTTTAACTCAACATTGTGGAACCATAAGAGATTTTTTTTAAAGGTTAATGCTAAATTTAAAGAGACTGTAGGAGCATCTTACAGCTATTTTTTTAATTATTATTTAACATGTAAAATTTTAGTCCAGTGTAATGATAAATCTTTTCTGGCCACTATCGGTAAGACTTAGTTGAGGAAATCACTATCCCCAATTAAAGACAAAGGTTGGATTTTCTCTCGATGTTGTATGAAATACCTAATCACACCTGCCTCTCTTTGTCACAGTGCTCAGTGTCCTGCACACTTGTCAGGTCCACCTTTCCAGCCCCCTGGCCCAGCGACTGCTCTGTAGTAATAATTTCAAACTGCAGTCCTATGTTTCTGCAAAGGAGCCTCAGGACTCCAGTAGGATCAAAGTAGGGAAGTGAAGCAGGGACATAGCTCTCTTGCTCCTTATATCTATTTTCTGTTTTAGCCTTGCCTGTAAGATTTTTTTTGGCAGAATAGTAATGCCCTGCTGTACATGAGCCGTCTACTTGGACAGGACAGTCATATCCTAATAAAACCAGGAGAGTCCTCAAACAAAGCTTTATACTTCCAGTCTCCAAGCCCAGGTATACAGTTAGCATATATGTGCTTTTATGTGAATTACAAAAAGGCACTTCTTTTGTGCTGGCGTATTGAAATAGGCACCCCTCCCTCCCCTTTGTGCCAGGAACAGTGCTCTGAGAACAAAACCAAGGTTGTATTTATGTATGTGCATTCCCATAATTTCATGTCTTTGTGCAGTGCACAAAATACAGTGTCTGTGGTGCCATTATTGAAGCTTCCTTCACTGTTTTTTAAACCTGGAATCCCTTTTGTAGTCCATATCCAATTTTAAGTCATAATTCAAATATAAATGCTAGCAAAATTGACTTGATTTAGAGATAAATGAAAGTTTTCCACTTGGATCCAGAAATGCAATTGCCTAAGTAAAATACAGAGAAAATTTGGATCATTTGTAAGAGTATTGAAAAGTATTTATGGATACTTGATGACTGTGGCCTTTATAAAGCACCAGCATGATGTGGCTACCAAAAGGGAGCTTGTGCTGTGTGGAGGCTGCACTCACAGAGTTCCAGTCAGAGCGGGAGTGAGGTGAGGTCCTCCCAGTGCTCAGGGGCACGGAGACCACTTGTTCAGCTGTTGAAAGATTGATGGGCTAGAGCTAAAACTGTGGCCCTCAGACCAATAGCATCAGCATCACCTGGGCATGTCCTTAAAATTCGAATTCAGTCCTGGCCAGGTGGTTCAGTTAGTTGGAGTGTCTTTTGTACAATGAGAGGTTATGGGTTCTATCCCCGCTCTCCCCAGTCAGGGTGCATATGGTAGGCAACTGATTGATGTTTCTCTCTCACATCAATGTTTCTTCTCTCTTTCTCTACCCCTTACTCTCTCTCTCTAAAAAATCAATAAAGATATCCTCAGGTGAGGATTAAAAAATAATAATTAAAAATGCAAATTCATAGGACCCAATTGGGGTTTCCTAAATGAGTAAGACCCAGTAGTCTGTTTTCATAAGTCAGGTGTATCAAACTCATTTTCACTGGGGGCCACATCAGCCTCGCAGTTGTCTTCAAAGGGCCGAATGTAATTTTAGGACTATAAATGTAACTATTCCTTAACAGTTAAGTGAGAGCTCAGTGCTGCCACCAGCTAGAAACAAGGTGGAGGGCTGTATTCGGCCCGCAGGCCTTGTGTTTGCCACCTGTGTCATAAGTCTTCCCAGTGATTTTGATGCATGCTTAGTTTTAAGAATCGCCGGGTGGAAATACACCTAAGAAGTGTGCAGCCTGGATGGTAAAGGGAACTCAAACCATACCATTTAAACTATAGTAGGTTAAAGGAACTCAGGATGTTTAACTCAGAAAAGAGACAGCCTTGGATATTTATTAGAACTATCTTAAATTACAGTATTTGTGGGAAAAAAAGGATTAGATTCCTTCCAGGTCTTTAGCCCATTTTTAAATCATTTATTTTTGTGTTAAGTTATATGAGTTCCTTATATGTTTTAGCTCTTAACCAATGTATTTTTGATGAATATTGAATACGTATTGCTATTCATTTAGTTGTCTTTTCATTTTGTTGATGGTTTCCTTTCCCGTGCAGACACTTTTCAGTTTGATATATGCCTATTTGTTTATTTTTTCTTTTGTTTCCCTTGCCTGAGGAGACATATCCAAAAAAATATTGCTAAGAGCAATGTCAGAGTTTATTGCTTATGTTTTCTTCTAGGAGTTTTATGCTTTTGGGTCTTACGTTTGAAGCTTTTATCCATTTTGAGTTTATTTGTATATACATATGGTGTTCATTTGTTTGCATGTATCTGTCCATTTTTCCCAATGCTATTTATTGAATGGACTGTCTTTACCCCATTGTATATATTTTATATTTGCCTCCTTTGTCATAGATTATTTGACTATAAAGGCATGGGTTTATTTCTGGGCTTTTTATTCTGGTTCATTGATCTATGACTGTTTTCATGCCAGTACCATGCTGTTTTGATTATATAGCTTTGTGGTACATAGACTGATATCAGGTAGCATAATACCTTCAACTTTGTTCTCTTTCTCAGGATTGCTTTGGCTATTCAGGATCTCTTGTAGGCCCATATAAATTTTAGGATTGTTGTTTTTCTAGTTCGGTGAAAAGTGCCATTGGTATTTTCATAGCAGTTGTATTGATTCTAAAGATTGCTTTGGATAGTAGTATGGACATTTGAATGATGTTCTTCCTATCCATGAGGATAGTATATA